GATATTGGCAACTATGGACTTCAGTCATCAGTCAACGACAGTGATTTACATATTGGAATGGAGTTCACATCGAATGAGGAAGCAATGATGGAAATAAAGAGTTACAATATTCATAACTCAGTTCAGTCCCGAGTTGATTGATCTACCACGGAGAAATATGTCTGCTATTGCGTCCAACATGACAACGGATGTCAAGCGATGACCCGTGTATCAAAGAGGAATAGGAAGAAAAACTTATAGGAACTAACCAGATACAATGGTCCTCACACGTGTTGTGCAAGAAGTATAAACCAGGATCATCCCAACTTGGACTCCAACATTATTTGCCAAGCAATCATGCCCATTGTGAAACAAAGCTCTCATATAGTTGTTGCAGTGTTAATTTCTGCTATACAGTCACAATATGAGTACACCGTCTCCTATAAAAAAGCTTGGTTGGCAAAACAAAATGTCATTTGCAAACTTCATGGCGAATGAGATTCCTCTTACAACGAGCTGCCTAGTTGGTTTCATGTTGTGCAAAGACTCAATCCCGGGACAATTATTGAGTTCGAAACTCAACATCATTACGTGAATGATCGAGTGGTTCGCGATCGCTGCCAATTCTACCGTGTCTTTTGGACTTACCCTCAGTGTATTAATATAGTCAAGTACTGTAAACCAGTTGTACAAATGGATGGTACTTTCTTGTATGGGAAATACAAGCAAGTTTTATTATTGGTTGTGGTCCAAGATGGAAACCGCAATATTCTTCCTGTTACGTTTGCCCTCGTTCAAGGAGAATACACTGAGTCCTGGGATTTTTTCCTTAAAAATTTACGTTTACATGTTGTCACCAGGGAACGAGTATGCATTATTTCAGACCGAGGAGCCGGGATAAAAGTAATAATGGAGTCTTTGGGTACAATGTATAGACCTCCACATGTTCAACATCGTTATTGTGTCTGTCATATTGCTGCAAACTATTACGAAAAATACAAGAAGAACGATGAACGTCAGTTAGTCGTGCGGATGGGTATGTTACTTTTTTCCAATTTTTCTATCATTTTCGTATTACTTATTTATACTTCATATTAACTATTTCATATTCCTAATGGCTTAGGTTACGAACTCTTACCTCAAAGGTTTGAGTCTATGCTACAAGAGTTGTTTGGAAAAAATAAGAAGGGGTGCGAATACATTATGGACATCAGCAAAGAAATGTGGACAAATGCGTATGACAGGGGGTATCGCTATGGTCATATGAAAACCAACTTGGCTGAAGCAATAAATTTAACCTTAAAGGGGGTTTGTCATTTACCAATTACAACATTGGTCAAAACAACTTATTTTCGTTTGGGTCAACTCTTTGCAAAGCTCGGTGGACAAGCTCTTACTTGGATGCAAAACGACCATATTTACAACCCAAGACTAGTAGCTGATTTACAAAAAAAATGGTTGTATCAAATGGGATGTTGGTTACAAATTTTTCTCACACCCGTGAATTGTTTCGTGTAACCGAAATGCCACGTTCGCTGCAAGGGATTGAAACTAACTCTTTCAGAGTTAATCTGCAAGAGAGGTTGTGCGATTGTGGTTTCTTTCAAGCACTCAAATATCCATGCTCTCATGTCATTGCATCTTGCTCATATTTGCATTTGGACTACAAAAATTATGTTGATCCCGTATACCAACTTTCACAAGTATTCAAGGTATATGAATTTGAGTTTCCTCCCATAGGAAACGAAAGAGACCCAGATGAGATTCAAACTTGGCTTACAATTGTACCAGATCCATTGCTATTGAGGGACTCAAGTCGTCCAAAATCTACTAGAATACATTGTGATATGGATATTCGGAAGAAGTCAACAGAACAAAAACGATGTGGGCATTGTAGAAACATCGGGCACAATAGAAAAAATGTACAACTATGTTATCATCACATAACTGTTAATCATTATGTAATTAATATTCTATTTAAATGAATGTTTTTGTTTCTAATATTTAAATGTAATTGAATTTTCTATAATTTCTCAATGTATGTACACCTAAATAATTTTTTTAAAAAAATTTTATTTAAAAATTATTTTATGATATTTATTTAATATAATAATTAATATTATTTATTATAAAAAATTAATTATTAATTTTATTAACTTATGCATCAATATTTTCGTTAAATATTGATAACAGATGACTAGATTGATAACATTTAAATAATTAAGTGATAAAATTAATAGATCGATAATCAAAATAAAAAATTAATAGATATATAATCATACGTGTAATATTATAATTTCATATATTTTTCCTATAACTACAATAAGATCAAACCTGATTTTCATCTATTATTCCATCCGATTAATGTCGCGTGGAATGGGTGAATGCCAAAGTCCCTGAAACATATAACACTAAAACCTAAATTCACTCCACCTTTAACACACATTTAAATAATACATTTGATACATCTTAAATTATAACCGAACTTGACTTAATCAAATTTCGATAAAAGTTTTGTTCGAATTGATTCGATTTGAATTTGAACTTGATTTGAGACCTTAACGAGTTGAGTCAAGTAAAATCTAACTCGACTCGATAAGTTTGCGATCAACTTGTTAATTTTTTTAATAATATTTTACTAGTTATCTTAGAAAATCATTTCATTAAAAAATTTATTAATAGAAGTTAAATGACTAATCTATTAATTTTATAATAAAAATATTAAATTATTAATAAATTATTATTATTTTACTACACTAAAAAATTAAACCTTAATTATTATTTTAATGTATTTGTGGAATTTTATTTTGGAGTTTAGACTTTGAATTTGTTTCGTACACTCTTTTGATATTTTTTTTTGTTAAATTTATCAATTTACTTTTATATTAAGTTTTATATAGTATTGGTAGATTTTACGTTCAACTAAAAAATAAGATAAAAATTTTGGCGAGTTTAACTAGTAACGAGCTTAACGAATACAAGTTGAGCAACAAGATTTTTAAATAGCACGAGTCAAGCAAAATTTTAAAGAGCAACGAATTGAGTCGAACAATTTTTTTTAACAAACACGAGTTGAACACTGCCTAACTCGCAATTGACTCGCTCGATAACCACCCCTACTCCAAATACTCAATTGCTCTATCTTCTACATTGGTACCTAATTCCATTAGTCCATCACCAACAAGAATAACATTTTACTAATAAACTTTTAAATAGACAATGAAACTCAATTTGCAATTTTAAATAAAAAAAAAGTTGAAAAATCAATACTACACTATATAAAGGGATAAATATGGTAAAGATCGGATTTGAATTTAAATTCGCTGACCTTTATAATGTCATTAAATCAAGAATTTGCTGATTAAATAAAATTAATAAGTTAAAAAGTTTATTTTTTTAAAAGCGATGAATGAGAACAATTAGACATTTCAATGATGCAATGTCACCTTCACCATTTTATTGGATATGTTATAAGGGTGAGACAAAGATAGTTTTGTTTATGCTTCTTTGCACTTTATATGAATATTGAAAATATCTGTTTCTATGATTAAAAAAAATAAGTAAAAATCAAATTATTTCAGTTATTAAATAAATAATTTTCATTTTTAGAGGCCACAGGTTCGAGCATAAAAAATTAAAGGGTATTTAAATGTTTATAATCAAATATTTGAGAGTTTTTCGAATATATACTATCACTTGTAAAATCTCTAGTTTAATAAAAAAAGAAAAAATAGAATATCTATTTCATTAATATTTACTATTAGCTGATTTTTAGGCAAATTTCACTTTTGGGGACAAGACAAAACAAATTATTGGAAGGTCAAAAATATAATTTTATTAGAAAAATAATTAAATTAAAGAGTAAATTATATGTTTAGTCACCCATTTATTTCCTCAATTTCGTTTTGATCATCAAATATTTTTTTCAAAATTATATAATTTTATATTTTAACTATTCATTGATAAAAAAATAGACAGAACTGCTAACTTAATTAATTTATAAATACTTTAATTTTATATTAGTCCTCAAATTATTAATGTTTTAATTTTATCTTCAAAATTTTATTATAAATTAATTTTTGAATTTATGAATATATTAATTTTACATTGATCCCAAATTTGGACCATGGCAAAAGCTGAATGAATTGTGGAAGATTGATTTTGATAGGAAGAGGCAGACTTTGGAGCATGGTAAAACCTTAATCAAAGCCCATTTACAACTGTAGTACTCCTTGCTTTTGATCCAGAAAACAAGTCAAATAAACCTACCTACCGAACCAAAAACTATATAATGCCTTGAGATTTATTGGATGCCATCTGCTTCCTCTTCCAAATTCCAACCCACCCTTCTTGTTCTTCTCCTTTGCTTCTTGGGGTCTTGGTCTGAATTTATAATCGTCTTAACTGTGGTGTTTTCGTAAATTTCAAACAGAAAATGGAACCCGAAATGTTGGTACCGCCTCCCCAAGTTTCCATAGGCGGCGTTGAGAGCTCCAAGACGCTTTTTCCGCCTCCAAAGGTCGTGGTTTTGGCTGACCTTAATGTCTACCCTCCTGAATCCGACGACCATGATTCTCTGCTCCTCCCTGCTCCTGACCTTACTAGGTTCCACCCCCTTTGCTTCGATTCCTTCTATGTTTTGTGTGATTGTTGGAGCAATTATTGAGCTTTCTCGGTTTCTTCAATACTTGGTTTTAATTTCAATTTATGTATTTTATGGAAATGGGGTGTTATATTTCGGAGTTTAGAGCAGTTTAATTTGATTTTGGTTTTGCCTTTAAGCTGCTTCAATAGTAAAATCCCTGCAAACCCTTTGCTTTAGTAGCTCTATTGAACTCACTGCATGCTTTAATGAACCTGTATTTTGTGTTCTCTGAGTTTAGTTGAAGTTTGAACAATTATTACAATTTACATGATGTAGACTAACTAATGATGAAAGCAGTCAAGATAAAAGTACCTTAGTTTCCAAAGACATCGATGCTGTGGAAGGGGCAGTTAAAAAGTTAAATAAGAAATGCCTCAAAACTGTTAGTTCCATCCCCTCATTCTTTGACATCGTGCAATTTTAAGCTTGGTACTATAGTTGATGGATATCAAAGTGTGCCGTTTCTTGAATGTTTTGTATTGTCTTTAACCGAGAAACAGTTTTGAATTGTGTTTCATAGCTGTATATTCGGTTGAGGGTGTAGGCTAATGGTTTCAGTATCAACTTCTTCGAACTTGGTAAATTTGTTTACCGACACTGAGGATGCTTTTTTTTGGTTTACTTTGCAATTGTTTTTATGTTCTTGTAGGGTTTGGTGCATGTTGCGAGGAAGAATCCAAAAAATGCGCATGCTCATTTCATTCTTGGTCTAATGTATCAAAGGCTCGGTCAACCTCAAAAGGTTTAGAAATTAACTGACTTAGCAGGCACCATAGTTTTGTGAATATACATTATTCTTATATCAGTCAGTACCCCTTTTTTCTTATTCTTCTCCCCCTTTCAAAGGCAATTTCGGCTTATGAGAAGGCAGCAGAGATATTGCACCGCAGTGAGGCAGAGATTGCACGGCCAGAGTTGCTTTCCTTAGTTCAAATTCACCATGCCCAGGTGCAGTTATAAATTGATTTCGTTTTCTCTTTGACCTTAATAATAGAAAAATAGAGTGAAAAATATTAGTATAAAAATTATATGCTTTCTAATCTAGCATTGGTCAATATGCAGTGTCTTCTCCTAGAAAATTCAGTAGATAACGTTTTGGATAAAGAGCTTGAACATGAAGAACTTAACGAGATCCTCTCTAAATTGAAGGAGTCAATGCAGTCAGATATTAGACAAGCAGGTGTATGGAACACCCTAGGCTTGATTCTTCTCAAAACTGGTCGACTGCAGGTATAACTACGAAATTATCATTGGTTGAATAGTATTTTTCTCATTACTTGATCTGATCTGGAGTTTACTTCTGATGTAGAGTGCCATCGCAGTTTTATCATCTTTGTTGGCTCTTGCCCCCGACAACTATGATTGCGTTGGAAACCTTGGGATTGCTTATCTCCAGAGGTAAGATTGTCTCGTTTTGGAAATGAAAAGGCGATATTGGAATGCTGAAGTGAGGGTTGGAGAGGATAACTTTGATTCTTTATCTTTCTCATTGACGGATCGCCATGCATTCTGACTTTGATTCTTTATCTTTTTATTGATGGAAAAGCACTAATCGTCAACATACGTTGCATACATTCTAACTTGTGATTTATGTTTTCAGTGGAAACTTGGAGCTTTCAGCAAAGTATCTCCAAGATTTGATCATTAAAGACCAAAACCATCCGGCAGCTTTAATGAACTATGCTGTAATTCTTCTTTGTAAATATGGTTCAGTTGTTGCAGGTAAGCCTGTGAGAGTGTAAATTCTTACATCCCTAGCCTTTCAATTTGCCGTTCGGAAGAACTTCAAAAGCAGCAATGGATGTAAATGATGTAGGCATGTTGAAAGAAAGTAGTTTGAGCTCATTCTTTTCTCTTCTCAGGTGCTGGTGCAAATGCCAGTGAAGGAGCTTCCAGGGATCAGTTTCCAGCCATCAATGTTGCGAAGGAGTGTTTGTTAGCCGTAGTAAAATCTGATCTGAAAGCAGCACATACATGGGCGAATCTAGCCAATGCATATTATTTGATCGGTGACCATAGTAGTTCCAGCAAATGTTTGGAGAAGGTGCTAACGGATTATTGATAGTCACTTATAGCTTCTTTTGTTTGGGTTGTCCATTTTTTTGCCCCCCATTTTTATAAAATATAGGATGCCCTATTTTTAGTTTTCGCCTGCCGTTGTGCTTTTAATGCAAAATTGCTATTAATATAGTTACAAATGCATGCATGACTTTTGCTTGAACTTATTCTGTCACATTGTTTTGTGGTCTTCCGCAAGTTTTAGTTTATTCTTGCTTTTGTTTATTATTAAAAAGGTTGCAAAACTGGAACCAAATTGCATGTCTACTCGATACGCCGTTGCAGTCCATCGAATCAAGGATGTTGAAAGGTCACAAGATCTAGTGAACAACTTTCTTGGGCTGGCAATGAAATGGCATCAGTACTAAGAGAAGGAGATGCTGTGCCAATTGAACCTACCGTTGCATGGGCCGGACTTGCCATGGTTCATAAGGCTCAACATGAGATTGTGGCAGCCTTTGAGACGGAACAAAATGAGTTAGTCGAGGTCGAAGAGCGAGCTATCTTCAGTTTAAAGCAGGTATGATTTTCAGTTTAGCTTTTCTACAAGTTAATAGTTAAGCTTTTTATAAAAACTGTTACGATGTGGTTGAAGTAATTGGCACAATTATGTCTAATATGTAACTGTATCGTGCATCTACTGGCGCAATTGACTCAGAGAAATTTTTATCATCTATTATCCAGGCAACAGCTGAAGACCCAGATGATGCTGTGCAATGGAACCAGCTAGGACTTCATAGTCTCTGTTCTCAGCATTTTAAAACTGCACAGAAGTCTTTGCAAGCCGAATGCGTTTACAAGCGAGCACTTTCATTGGCATCAGCGGAACAAGCACACGCAATATTTTCCAACCTGGGGAATCTCTACGACAACAAAAGCAATATGAACGCGCCAAGGCAATGTTTACGAAGTCGCTTGAACTCCAGCCTGGATATGCTCCGGCTTTTAATAATCTCGGTCTCGTGTTTGTCGCCGAGGGTCAATGGGAAGAAGCAAAGTTCTGCTTTGACAAAGCGCTTCAGTCGGATCCATTGCTTGATGCGGCCATATCCAACATGATTAAAACCGTGGCCTCGTCTCAACGGTGTGCGGGTTTGTCGTCGTTTCTCATACCCGATTAATTAACGTTCCTGGAAATATGTAAAATTATGGTTTATATATCTGTATATAGTGTACATTATAGAGGAAATGCGACAGAACAATGCGTTGTATCTTTAAATGCAAATGTTTGATTTCCTTGTACAAGGCAAATCTTAAGAAATTCAAGGCTGATTTTTCCTTATTCTGTTCATATCATGCGTGGGAATTGATTTTTTTTAGAGATTTATTTTTAGTGGATTGGCCTTATCTATTTTTTATACAATGCTTATATTATTCAAATTCTTTTCACTAACAGTGAAAATGTATTTAATCATTTTGATGGATTATTACTTAAAGCATATATTATTGGCAGCAAAGGACTTCATCATGTATATATGTACATCTTCCAATATCTTGACACCTTAAAATAAACGAATAAAAAAGTGTAGCAATTAACATATACTTACATCAGTATAAGTAAGTACTTAAAAATAAACGTATAATTATATCGGTGCAAGTATATTTTTGTATTTTCAAAAAAATAAAAGATTAAAAATAATAAAGATATATGTTAAAATAGAAAATATATGTCAAGAATAATTTGGTAAAACATATTTTTTTTATCTCATATTCATTTAACTAAACATTATAATCTTGTATACCTTCTGCCAAACAAAATAATATAACATTCTCATTAATGAGATAAACAATGCAATATTATAATAAACTTATTCTCAATAGTAATCTTATATTTCACGAACTAAACAATCCCCGAGAGTTTTTCGATCCTTTTTCAATATCATATAATTGAATGTTGGAATTTGAAAAGGGTCATGTTTAAATGGAGAGAAAACTTTTAAATTTAGGTAGATCAACGTTTACTAGTTTTAATTCATATAAAAACCTTAGTCAAGTCTAGTGCCTAGTGGTCAATGAAATAAAATAATTAGAGTTTTTTATAATAGTATTAAAATCTTAATTGGATATTAGTATCACGAGTTGATTTCATTTGAAATTATTACAAATATTCTCAATATTTATGATTTTGTTTTGGCCCACTAGAGCTTTTCCTTATTTCGTTCATACAATATTGATTCAGAACTTTCCCGGTTCACACTGGTTTCGAAGATTGGTTGACCTTGTCGTCAATGAAGCAAAAATAGTTACTAGTCTTTTTGACTAACCGAGTCTAGGCAAACTCCTCCACGCGTTCTTGGAAGAGACTATAAACTTAAAACTATAAGTCAGTCATCAGAATTTTTCTAGGAATCGAATTGCAGACTAACTTCATGTCGTGTTATTACTGTTCTGTTTCTTCTCCACACATACATATTGAAACCATTGTAATGATGTCCAAAAATCTAAAAGCTATGTGACAAATTTCCATTGTGCCGATAGTGATTTTGATTAGTGGCGAATTTAGAAACTTAAGAATGGGGTCTAAAATTTTAATTTTCTTTTTTTAAAACTAACGAGCATGCAAAAGTTTTTATTTTTTTCATTTTTCTTTAATATATTATACTAAATTTCACTTTTTTTCCTAAATAATGGGGATGCACTTGACCCGAAAAGCTTAGTGCATCCGCCTACTTTGATGATGGAATTTGGCACTAGCTAAGTTTGAAATTGACAAAATTTATTATACAACACTCATCATGTCACTCTCAAAATCTCCTACTTATTAAATTGGTGGAGAGAAAGTTTCAATTTAGGCAAATTGACACAAGTAATTATATCTTGAAATATTTAGAGGTACTGTAATGGCCTTTTTAAAAGGGACCAAATGCTTATGGATGGGCAATGATGTTTGAATTTGCCTACCAAATACTAGTACCATGATATCAAAGCTACTAAGTTTATCTCTTTTCATCTTATGCATTCTCTTTAAGCTGGATAATGTTGAATTCATGACAACAAGTGTTAAGTAATCAGTAAACATGAGTATCGAGAAATATTATTGCTTGCACACTTTGTTCATAGCTCATACATCATTATATAACAAGCAATCAACCATAATTGCCTAACCACTCAGCTATAACAACTAAAAACCTTAGTAACCGACTACAACTGCTTATACACATCAGTATTATAACTGCTCATACACATCAGCAGCTCTACACATCAACAGCTCTACACATCAACAGCTCTACACATCAGCTACACTCAACATTCTCCCTACTTTTACCTTCTCCCCCAATAAATGATTGAACATGGACCTTTGCTCTAAACATTTCAAATTGCGATGTAGACAACGGCTTGGTCAGGCCATCTGCAACTTGGTGACTGGCAGGAACATAGTTGGCCAAGACCTGTTGAGTATCAACTTTCTCCCTAATGAAATGAACATTAAGTTCAACATGCTTTGTCTAGCAGGATAAACCGGATTCGCAGTAATAGCCACTGCACTATTATTATCACACCATATTACCGGTGTTTTAGACTGAACAATTCCCATATCTGAAAGTAAGACACTTATCCATGTTGTTTAGCAGTGACATCAGCTATACTTCTATACTCAGCCTTCATAGTAGACCTAGAAACAGACTTCTGTTTCTTAGAACTCCATATGACCAAATTTTCTCCAACAAAAACACAGTTGCCTGAGACAGACTTCTGATCGTCTGTATTTCCAGCCCAATTAGCATCAGCAAAGGCCACAACATGCAGTCCTGCCACAGACAGTGTTATAACCAGGCCATGATTAAGCGTGCCAACCAAATATCTCAAAATGCGTTTGACTACCACCAAATGATCACGTCTAGGTACATGCATATATTGTGCCACCTTGTTAACATTGAATGAAATATCAGGATGAGTATGACAGACGTACAAAAGCGCTCCAACTATATTGCGATATTCATATGCATTAGCCAGCAAGTCTCTAGCATCAACTTGTGTAAGCTTCGATGTAACCAGCATAGGTGTAGAAGCAGTTCTTGCATTGTTCATCTTAGTCTTCATCAGCAGCTCCATGATAAATTTTCGCTGACTGAGGATCAATGTTTCACCAGCTCGATGAATTTCGATACCAAGAAAGAAACTAAGCTCTCAAAGGTCTTTCAATGCAAACTCTGCTCCCAACAACTTCACAATTTCTTCAACCTGCATGTCTGACTCGCCTGTAATTATTATATCATCCACATAAACTAGCATGTACACATAATTATTTTGAACACATCTAACAAACAAGGAAGTATCTGCCATGGATTCCTTAAACCCAATATTAAGTAAGCATTGCTTTAACTTGTTATGCCAACTCCGAGGTGCCTGTCTTAAGCCATACAAAGCTTTTTGAAGCTTGCACACTAACGAGGTACCATCAGGAGCCCTTTGTTCAAATCCAGGTGGTTGCTGCATATACACATCTTCACTCAAGTCTCCATGTAAAAAAGCATTGTTTACATCAATCTGTAGTAGCTGCCAGCCCTTTTTCACCGCTAAAGTCAAAACCACATTCACCGTGGTAAATTTAACAACTGGACTGAATGTCTCAGTAAAGTCGTGACCTGGAATCTGGGAATACCCTTTGGCTACAATACGAGCATTATATCGATTAATAGACCCATAAGGGTTTTTCTTTAGCTTAAACAACCACTTACATCCTACTACTGACCGTCCTTTAGGAAAAGGCACGAGAGACCAGGTATCATTCTTTTGCAGGGCTTCAAGTTCAACATATACATCATTTCTCCAATGAGGTGACTGAAGAGCTTCATGCACATTAACAGGTTCCATAGTAGCATAGGCAGTCGAATACACTTTAGGTTTGAAGATCCCACACTTGCTTCTGGTAAGCTGTAATACCCCAAAATTTTGGATAATGACCAAAATGAAAATTTTGAAAGTTTGATGGTCAAAGTAGAAAATTGGGAAAAAGTTTAGGGAGTTAAGTGATAAATTTCCTAAAAAGAATTTTATTCCATAAATAGATGGTTTACTCTTGAGAGTGGAGATTTATAGAAACCATGTTTTTGGATTTGGAATTTTAGTAAAGAAAAAAATTAGAAAGGGTTAAAGCTCGGTAAGGAATTGGAAATTCAGATTGAATTGGAATTTTACAAAAATTGGAAAGATGTTACAAAATGGTTGGAAATATTATTTTAATATTTTAGATCAGAGAATTTTGGTTTGAAAATGTGCAATTTTTCAGATTTAACCAAAACGGTGGAATTTAGTGACTAAAATGCAAGATTTGAAAAATTCAGGGAAATTTCAGAAATAAATGTCAAAATAATTCAGCTTTGACTTTGAAATATGATAAGGATGAGTTGTCATGGTTTTATGGTAATTAAGAAGATTCATTAAGGGTGATTTGGTCTTATCCCAATTAAATGAATAGCATATTCATTTAAAGTGGAATGAAATGTAAATTAAGATGAGATGTTCCCCACATTTCATCCAAATTTGATATCTTCTTCTCCAAACCAGACGTGGGTTTTCTCCTAAGGTAAGAGAAAGCTTCAACTCAATTTTCAACCAATTTCCTTAGGATTTTGAGTATGCTGAAAATAGAAAATTGTTATATGCGAAAAACGTTATCATTTGGTACCAATATTGCATGATAATCTTGTTGGTTGTTCAAGTTCATCTTGAGTGGATGAAGGGGAAGTTGATTTCTTGTGTTTTATGGGTTTTGAAGAGTTAAGTGATTTTAAAGAATTGGTTGTAAGAATTGATGAAGAACCTAAGGATGAGGTTTAAGAAAACAGTTTAGATTTTGAGATTGACAGTGGGTTTGAAAATTCACCAGAATTTATATAAAAATAATTTGGAGGGTATTTTTATATATTGTGTTCATATATCGATTTAGTTTTGTTTAAAATAAACAGGGATCAATTTCAAGATGTATACAAAAAGATATGAATTTTTAGCCAAGGAAAGGTCAGAATAATCGGACAGCAGATTCTGCAAAACAGATTATGTTGATCAACTTTGAAAATTCACCATAAATTGTACATAATGAATTAGAAGGATTTCTTGACATGGATAGATTCGTATTTGAGTATAGTTTTCAATGGAAGAAATGGAATTAAATTCCAGTTTGTATATCAATACAGAATATTGATTCTTTAAAGGTAGTGCGAGTTGTCTGAATATGTAAAATTGATGGGTTTGATGTACTTTGCTGTAAAATGTTGT